TCCTATCTTGGGATTAGTGTTCTAGGATGATTTAAGAATAACACATTATGTCAATTCTGAAGTTCAAGAGAATTCCACATCTACTTCAGATAGTACTTTGATATTTGCAGTACAGTGTATTCTGAGATCACTGGTTTTAATGATGACACTCCTGCCTTTATCTCAGTGGAATTTGTCTCTCTCAGTGAGACTCACCCGGTAGGAATGAGAACTGCTGGGTGGAGGTCATAACTAAATGACAATATTGCATCTTTACTTTGGAATTATATTTCATTAAATATTGCTTTAGAGGAAAATCAATAGGTATAAAAAGAAAATGTTCAAATTCAAGGAATATACTCTGAGGTGAAATGTTTAAAATATACAACTTGTAAGGAAAAACATCAAAGAAGGCATCTATTTTTGCTCCTGGGGACCAAAAAAATGAGCCACAAAGTATAATAGTTTTACATTAAAAATTTCCTCCTTTACACATTCATAATTTCTTTAGCTAATGTAAAAGTTAAAATCTTAATATTATTAGTCATTTGTTGGATGAACAGAATATGTTATATAAAGAAATGATGCCATAAGGGTACAAGAAATACACTACTTTAGAAAAGACAGCAAGACACACATTCCAACAGAGCAAAGCCCTATTATCCTTAATTTGCATATGAATAATTAATATGCATACCCCAATAATGCCAGTTTCTGTGCACTGCATTCAGTATGAATTATTCAGAAACACTTCAAAAATGCCTTTTGTAGTTGAGGGAATTACCATCCTCCAAGGTATGTAAAATATACAAATGGTTTGAAAAATGAAATAGAAACAGATCTCATTAAAAATATTCAGGAAAGGAAAATTTCTTAATGCCACGATCTTATTTTTTATGTGTGCTTTATCTTCTAGGGATTGTACTTCTAGGGATTGTTCTAGCTTTTAGGAATATGAAAGTGCATCTGAATACCCAGAAAAAGAGCTGTGAAATCACATAAGTTTCAAAACAGCCGAATTGCTGCTTCCTAACAACATGGAGCAACCTGTAAGTTACACAGCTCCAAGGAGGACACGCTTGAGGGAAAACGTAAGTAAGGACAACACAGCATGAAAAAATTCATGGTTTTGTGTTTTCTCTTGTTTTAAATGTTGTATGTCAAAGCATGGAGAAAGAATGGTTCCATGTTTGGAAGATTTCATACATAGATTATACTTTTCATCATAAAAATCACAACATAAGACAGGATTTGAGTCACTTCCAGTGCTAGGCCAGATTGGAATAATGGCTTCACCTTCACTGAGGCACAGGTAGTTTCTCCTGGTGATCAAGCTGTGTTAGAACCAGAAACAGGCATAAAAGTGCTAATTGAGGTTCAGTGAAGTCATCTCGTCAAAAGAGTTCCACGGGACCAATGTCAGTGTTTCCTGTGAATTGCTCAGTGGTCTGCAGTTCAAGGCTCTTAGAATTGTCTCAGTTTTATGTTTCAATATTTTTATGGTGGGTGGGCAATGAAATTCAACATTGTTGGTATGCAAGAAAATGCATGCACAAAGTCAGTTATACAATAATGTATATTATGGCTGAAGCAAAAGAGTTAGTTGCATGAAGCTCCAAGAAATTTGAAGAGGCAGTGATGAATACAGTTAATGAGGAACAGTGGTTTCTAGAGCTAGATGCCTAGATTTAAATTCCAAAATCACAGTGAATAAGTATAGGACCTTGAGCAAGTTTTCAAAACTTCATATACCTTTATCGTATCATTTAAAAATGAGAAAAACAAGTACTAGATATATGCGTACAGTTATTGTAAGGATTGAACCAGTAAATACACATAAATATACTTAGAATCAAATCAGCACATTTCAACAGCTTTATAAATGGTAGCTAGCATCATTGCATCATAAAGATTTAGAGTGTGAGCTCTGTAGTCAGACAGCTGTCCTGATTTCACTCCTTACTAATGATGAGAAATGTCTGACTCCCAGTCCTTAGTTCTACAGCACCTTTTCCAGAGTTTTTTTGGTATAATTTAGCAAGCTGCTCAGCTTGTAGCATATTAGCTGTAAAAAAATACCATTCCTGTTATTCTTCACATTTTGTGATTTTTCAGTAAACTTCTTTGAATCTTACGCTTTGATTCATGAGCAAGAACTGTGAGATATTATTCACGGAAACAAGAATATCTTAAACAATTTTATCTAATCTTTGCAGTGACTTCCTGTCATACAGGCTTTCAGACTCTTCAGAAGCCCAGAAAAGAAACAAACTTTGTGTTACATTTGGTAGAGAATGGTACTGATTTTTAGCACACAAAACTAGATTTTCATGACCTAGAAGAATGTTGATCTTGTAGTTTATCTGTCATGACCATAAACTGTGCAATGTACATTTGTATCAATGAAGGAAATGTGAATATGAGGTACTTAGTCAAATAGTTGTTCTATGTGTTTGTTTTGATGAGACAAATATAAACATACCATGAGAGACAGAGAAGATGAGGCATCTTTTATTTCTACTGCATCAAAGGTTAGATTATTGGATCCATAACATTTATGTCTGGGTAGAATCTGCCAGAAATAGAAAAATTTTATAGGATGTCACTTCAAATGGTGAAAAAAATCATATCGTGCTTGTGTTCTCCTGAGCTTTATCCAGTGAACTAATATAATATATAAGGTGCCAGTAAGTGATTCATACTAACAGACTCAATTTACTGTGTTACTGCGCAAAGTTGCAGTCAAGTAGGAAGAGCTTCAATTATGAAATGAACGAGTAAGATATAGCACAAATGGAAACCTGTTATCCGAAATTCTTGAGACTAAAAGTGTTTTGGATTTTGGATTCTTTCCTTTTTTTTTTTTTTTTTTTTTTTCATTTTGAACTTTTGTTTTTGTACAATGAAGTATGTGAGATGTGACCCAAGTCTAAAAATGAAATTCATTTATGTTTCATATATACCTTACATACAGATTGCAGGTAACTTTGCACAATATTTTTAGTAAACCTATGTTTTAACTGTAGCTGATCACATTAGGTAAGTTGTGGGAATTTTCACTGTGACATCATGCCAGCACTCAAAAATTTATATTTTGGAGCATTTCAGAGTTTGAATTACTTGATTAGGGATGATGAACCTGTATAAGGTTCCTGTTGTCATATGATCCACCCTCCTCTTTGTGGTTTCTTCGCTATTTTCTTAAATTAGAAAAGGTATAAGGCAATTATCTTACAAGAATAACAACTGATGTGTCCATTATTTAATCATCGATTCCTTAATAGAAATGGTGAATGGTCCTGAGATCATTTGATTGAGTCTAAAGAATTTCACTATGCACAAATACAAAAATACTAAGATCATCTATTCTCCCACTAGTGCTGACTTTCTGCTGAATTCTCACAATAAAAATATCAAATCAGCAACTCTCTTTTAGCTAAGTTTTTGGTGGGACTTAGCATGCCAGCCTGACTTAACTGGATAAATAAACTTTCTTCAGTTTCATGTTTGTCAAGTGATAATCCATATCTTCAGTTAGACATGGCACTGTTTTTAAAATGACTTTTAAAAGTCAACCCCAAGGCCTTAATATGTGTCACGTTTCAAAGTATGATTTCCACCAATGACATTTCACTAATCTTATTTCTCAATGTGATCTTACCTTTACAATATTAAATGGCAAAAAAGAAAAAGCATTTTTACCAATCAACCATATTCTCATTTTCTTTTTCTTTATTTTCAGTTCCTTCTTTGATATGGTCGATGGAAAGAAAAATCTTTCTTCTCTATTTCCTACTGATGAAGCTAAAAGTAAAATCTTTAAGACAGTAAATAATAGACATACGAACACCTTCAAGGATCTACCACATTCTCTACTTTCTCCCAAATAGGGAGAATATAAAGTCTTTATGAAATCATCTAGAGATGGCAAGTCAAGAAGAGATTCTTAAAATTAAGCCACTTGCAAGCAATATAATAAAATTCCATTTTTGTAAAACATACATCATCAAAGGCTTAATCTTTTTCAGTGCCTCACAGCATTCCATCATCTTTCCTAAATGTTAATAAGACTTTAGATAATTTTAATAAACCTTAAAAATAAATTTGATGGTTTCTCTTGGTAATAATTGGCATCTTTACATAACATTTAAATTAAAGTTACTGAGAAAATGTTTTCTCTAGAGAAACAAATCACTATTTCTAATATTTGGATATTTAAGAAAAATTGCTACTATATATTAATCCCATTTTGTGGATTCACACAATTATTTTCTAGTGAATCAGACTCTACAGGCATTGATTTTAATGGCAATTGATTATGTTACAAAAGGTAAGAGTAAGTCACTTTCTACCTGCCTTTTCATCTCTGTCTCTTTTATAGACACATGAACACACAGACACACGAGTCCTTGGGTGTTTCACGTCTAATTTAACAAAAATATCTCAGGGGTTAAATAAAGCTCAGAGATACTGCCTGAGCTTAAAAGGCTCACAGCAGAGGGACCATGTTAGGAGAGAGCTGCAGGTTCTTGCATCACACTTCACCTATCCCATGAGGCTCCCAGAAGATACAGGTAGCAGGATGAATGAGAGGAATCAGAATTTCCTCTCATTTCGTCTCATTTAGAATCAGAGTTCACCATCTTAGGACAGTAGTGTGCTATGGTAATTAATAATTTTACAGATTAAGTTAATAAGCCATAAACAGAGTAATTTCCAAAGTAATTTAATGAACCTTAACGTTTTAAGACAAAAGCTATCTGAACATAGTTATTCAAACATCATTTCCCTAACATCTTAAGTACCTATGAAAAAACCTCAAAGTTTATATACAACCAGAAATAAATACTTAGTTTCCCAGAATCATCCTTTCATTATTTGTTCAATCCGGAAAATAACAACTGCTTTGGTTACTACCTTTCATGAGATAACATGTTAAATACTTGTCCAAACAAACACTTAAAGATTTTGTAAACATTTACAGTAGAAGCCTTTTAAGGTTCTATTAAATAGTGTCTTACCTTGGTAAATCAAGATGCAAGAAGAAAGAAAATTTTGTTGGTGACTTTGAATCATCAGCACTGAATGTTCTAAAGGTATGAACATGAAGATGTTTGAAGACTGACTCACAGCTTTGTCCAGAAATTTGAACTGCCAGAAATCTAACTTCCAAATTAAGGAGCCTCAATTTTTTTCTAAATATTGATGCTACATTTGGAAATTAATGAAATAAAATAGTTTTCATTCAAACTTAAGCAGCAGAATATATTTTGATAATCCAAGTAAGGATTAAAAAAAGGATCTATACTGGGAATAAGAAGATGATCCTGTCAAAATACTATTCAATAAAGTATTTTTAAATCCTAACTTTTAATAATGTTATGGAGCAATCTGGGTAATATGACTCGGCTCAGATCAAGTGATATTGTGGAGCATATGAGGTTAACTAAAAATAAAAAACAGAGGTCATAGGCAAAGTGTGCAAGTTAATAGCAAATGATTTCAGTCCTTCAGAAAGCCTTTCAAGATGAAGTAGTAGAGACAATGAACCAATGGGATTTAAAGGTCCTCCTGGAGTCCAACTATAAAACCCTTCAAAACATATACTTTGAATCAGATCATGAGATACTTAACTCTTAAGGGGAGGAATTTAAAAACAAGTGTGCCAGGCAACCTTGAATTAAATAAGACACCACACTACTTGAAGCAAATTAATCCTGCAAGTCAGATTTCCCATGCTGATTCCCAGCAAGGGGTGCCACTCACTACTGTTCAATGCCAAATTGGTGGAATTTTAAGGAAAAGGAATAATACAGCCCAAGTTTCAGCGTCAACAAGAGCCTGAAAACGTCACCAAGGGTTTGGCCTTTTCCACCTGCTGGGAAGAGTGCAGCTGCATTTAGAACAAGGTTAAGCAAAAGAGCTGCTCTGTAAAGCGGCTCAAATAGGTCACTGGTGTTTGATTTGCCCATTAAGAAGAATGTGTTTAATCATTTTTAAAGCTAGTGGCAAAATAACTGTTGCAATTATAAACAATGGAATATTGCAGGATAATCTGAAATTTTATGTTAAAAATAACTTTATTAAAGCAACTTTGTATTGAAAATAATATGATGGAATTAATAAAAATAATCACAGTAAGTGTATATGTTACAGTGAGTGCTTGGGGTTTGGGGGGGAGAAAGAACAGCAAGGAATTCTTGATTGGTTTCATGCTGGAGAAACGTGGGGAGAAAGCATGAACCACTGATATATTTGAGCTAAGATTTATAATAATGACAAAGGTGGTTCCATTATGGCCAGTTAAGTGGCAGCAGCAAATGAGAGAGAGAAATTCAAAGATGTACACTGAAAAAGTACAGGTACACTGAAGTGGGGGCTGCAAAAAGCCAGATGTGGGAAGGGAAGTGGAAAGGGAAAATCAAAAGATCCAAATATAGCATCAGGGGATTTTTGAAATGAAGCCAAATTGCTTGTGGACCGTGGTGGCCCTCAAACCCCAGGTCCTGCATACAGAAGTCATCTTGGGAGAGGACTGAAGTCCTAGGGGAAGAAGCCTGTATTTCAGTGAAGGCCAGATAGCTGACATAGGTTCCTAAACTGTCTACCCTCCCACCCAGGAAAAGGAGTAAGCGCATGAGACTTCCCCAGGAGAGGGTGTAGGAGACACCAAAACCCATAGAGCAGTGTGAGAAAGTGGTGGCAGGCCCTCGTGGTTGTAGAAAAGATCCTCATTAGAGCCCAGAAAAACACCACAACTTAGGGGTTCCACAAGCAAGTAAGAGTGGACAACCAAACTGGGTCATAAACAGGCACTCGCCCATTCTTCTGTAAAAGATTTTTTATGACGTTAGTGCTGTTTTCCTGGTTGTCTCTAATAGCATTCATAGATTAGTCTTTGTGCATTCACACAGCTGTGGATCCATCTGCCATGGTCTCTCACTGGTTTTAAGGTACGGCATCTCTGAGTACATGGTTAACTGCAGGAGCCCAGTTCTCTGCCCGATGTTCTCTCACTTTGGTCCCATCTACTGCTCATACTTTAATAGAAGCCTGCGGCTCCTGAGTTTTTGTTTAGTATCTTTTCATGGACTTCAATTCTTTGCTAAACAAATAATTCGTATTTTATATCATTTGGATGGCTTGACTAGCATTTTTGTGTGTGTGTCTTAAGCTTCATTTTTGGCTATTAAATCTGTTATCATTGGAGTTAACTTCCCATAAGTGACCCACAAGTTCAGTGTATCTTCAGGGCATGATGAATCTCACAGGCCCTGGCATGAAGCTGTAGGGGATGCTGGGTGACCACCTGGTAACAGGGGGTGAGCAATACGCAGGATGCTCTATGGGAACAGTCCTCTTGGTGTTTGGGGAAGAACTAAGACCTCAAAAAACAACAAATATTGGCAAGGCTGCAGCAAAAAAGGAACCTTTCTACACCATTGGTGAGAGTATAAACTAGTATCCAGAGTGTAAACCCAGTATAGATATTACTAGGAGATAGCTCAAAAAAATTGAAAATCACATTTGGTTCAGCTATTCCCCTTCTAGTATCTTCTTGAAAGAATTGAATATATTGTATTAAGGCTTAGCCATAGGCATATCTACATTCATGGCAGAACAATTTATCATATCTAGACTTTGGAAATAACCTATATGTCCAATAACAGATGAATGGTTAAAGAAATGTGCTATATATAAACCATGAAGTTATCATTCCGCTATAAAGAAGAATAAATTTGAGCAATTTGTAGGAAAATGAATGCCTTTTGTGGTGAGAATGCTTATTGAAATAAATCAGACACACAGATTAAATTTGCACAATTTCTCTTACATGAGAAATCCAAATTATAAGTAATTTTAAAGTAATTTTAAAGTAAAATACAAGATAGATAATAGGCAACGGGAAAACAGACCTTTAAAAATGGGAAGAGAATCAACGGATGGAGAGAGATGGAAAAAAGGGAAAGGAGACGTAAAAAATAATTAAATATTATATATACATGTACCAACTTCCCATGATGTATGTATACATGATGAGTGTATTCATTATGTACTATAAACATTCACTAATTTAAAAAGATTTATAATAGTTACAGTGCAAGCTTTGTGTACTTGAATTATGAATGTACTCATCTTCTTTAATCTTGCAAGTGTTTTTAAGATAAAATGAGAGTTTGTGGGCCAGGGGTAGAAAGAAGAAGGCCAAACCAGGAAGCAAGCCCAGTCTGGGAACCAGTGCCGTGCATGGGCCACTGTTGGACTGGAATAGGCAGAACTCAGCCTCTTCCAGCATATGGACTGGCAAAGTAGAAGAAGCAACTCACCACCCCCACCCCACTCCATAAGGGACCAGTTTATCTGGAGAAACACAGGCTGTGATGATAGCTATAGAGGTGAAATGCAGTTGGATGCCTGAGTTGTTTTGGTGTTTCACTAACATTGCAGGTCTAGAACCAGTGGACTGATCATATAGATTCAGAGGATAGTGGTATACAATGTGGCATCTAGTGAGGGGGGTCTCCTTCTGAGAATTATGGCCATTGTTAATTCCCTATGGTCTTGTTTTCAAAGTCCTATATCATTTCCTTTGTTTTGTTGGGTTGGATTTTATTTTCTTTTGTTTTGTTTGATTATGTCAAATCTGATGGCAGGAGCAGCTATTTCAAAGATAGCAAGAAATATTATGGTAGCAATTTTGGATTTACTATTGGCTTATTTATGTTTTTCTTTTTAATTGGTACTGGGGATTGAACTCATGACCATGCACTTGCAAGGCAGGCGGCTTATGCTGCTGAGCTAAGCCCCCTACTGGCTTGTTTTGAAGCCCTTTATTGTACTCATTTTTTTTATTGTTTCTATTCTATTCTGTTCTGTTTGATTTTTACTATGTCCATAGTTATCTGCAGCTATTTTAAAGAAATCAAAATGTATTATGGTAACTATTGTTGATTTCATAATGTTTTGAAGTCCTGTAGCTCTTACACTGGTTGGTTTTGATTTGTTTTATTCTGTTTTACCCTCTATAAAATAAAAAAAGATAAAATGAGCAAATATTGGTGGTGCGTCCTTATGCTATTCAGGAATGATTCTCAATCAATCAAGAAGTATTCCTGCAGCATCTTTCACATACCAAACTACAAGATCAGTAGTGCAACGGAAAAGGAGAAATTTAAATGAATCACTGTTGTCTTTTCCTAGTGTTGGAGCACAGGAAATGATACCACCAATGTAGTGGTTTAGCATGCCAAGTACATACGCTTTCAGGATACTGTTAAGGCTGGGAAAGAAATCTTTCTCCAACTTCCTATGTAAAAACTGGCCACTAGACTATGTCCTCCACTGGACAGAATAATTGCTACACAGAGATTTCTAGTGGAAAGTGAGTGGACAGCCCTTCCTGACTTCCTTGTTCAGTCTATCACCATTACATCAACTCTTTTGTGTCCAATGACAATTCTACATAGCTCTCCATTCTTCATTCAATCTAAGTATAAAAATGGTCAGCTGTCCCTGGGTCTTTGAGTTTTCATTTATGAAAACTCCTGTGTCATGCAAACATTTAAGTGATTCTTTTACATGTTTGTCTTTTTATTCTGTCCTTTTCTAGATAAGATTATGGTAGAAAGGAAAGATAGCACAACTTTCCAGCTCTAAAATAGCTTGCAAGTTTAGCCTGGGAGTCAAAACTAGTGTTATAAAGTGATTGAAGTGCACTAATATGAAATAAATAACTCTAGTGTGTAATAAACTATAGAGCTTAAAGCAACAGAAAGGAGGGAGTGACTAAAGTAGATAAAATAGACAGGGAGGGGAGATTTACCTCCTTTAGCAGAGGTGATCTAAGAGAAGTTGGCTGGAAATACAGTGTGGAGAGGGTGTTGGAAGGTATAGAAAAATTAGGAGAAAATCCCTGGAAATACTATGTGCAAAGAAGTGACATACTAAAGGGCATGGATAGGCAAAATAAAAGTAGTTAGCTAGGAATACTGCATGGAGGGAGGTGATATGTTAGAGTTGAAATGAAAAGAAAGTGTTATGAAAATGGGATATAGTGGATGATTTTTCTCATTTTGCTACCGAAGTCATAAAGTGGGAAATGCTCCTTTAATATTAAAAAAATCAACTGGTTCATAAAATGTCATTAGGACCAATAATGTGTCCAAAATAGACATTCTCAAAAATTGACCTTTATTTTTAACGTTATGTTAGTTTTCCAAATCAGAAGCCATTGTTTCCAGTGTTAAAAGTCATAGTGAAAATTATACCTTACATAT